ACCAAGCAGGGGGTTCCAGTGCAGGTGCAGGGGGAGAGAGATAAGGATAAAAGAGGCTAGGTGCAGGGGGGGAGGTACAGATATGTTGAAGGAATAACTTAATTACCATTGATTCCATTGGGAATCTTTCTGAAGTCATCTTTCCCGATAGCTTTCTGTTTACCACTGAAGGTACAGTTGTCAGTTCCCACGCACTGAAGATCATCACTAAATGCAAAAAAAGAATCAATTGAAAAACTAATCAAAGTTGGAGTAGTTGTGCAGTGCACTTGAGGTGAATTTTTCGCATGGCTGTGAAAAGCTCAGTGCCTTAATGAAGAAGTGCCTTGACTGTGATGTTTGCTAGAATTGGTTGGCTTTTTTCCTCATGCAATGTGACCTGTCTGCACCATGTTTATGCCGTGTTCGAGGTATTTTATTGGATGGAGAGTAAGTTCTCGTGCAATGTGATTGGTCTGGTATTCCTTGGGATGTCACGGCTGTGTTAGTGTTGTGAGCTTTTTAGTCATACGAAAACCAGGGTTCGTGCTGAGGTAACCAATTAAAATTAAAGGGCTATTCAAGGAGTATACAAGGAACCAAACAAATTTGCAAGGAGAATGTTCAGCTAACTATGCCAAGGTTTTACACAGTGGTTGCACATGGCCAACTTTCAGATTTTCCAATCTTTCTGACTAGATCTATTTCAGAGCCATGCAAGTAATGATCAAAGCAAAAATTCAAGGTGTTTCGCTAAAATTACTGCAAAACTCAAGAGCTTTTCGAGCGCCCTTGAAAACGTGAATTAAATTCAAGGAGTTTTCAAGGAGTTTAAGGAGTAGCACGAACCCTGGAAAGCTACTCTAGTACATACTCTGCCAGTAAGTTCATGAGATGGTCAGGTGTGGTTGGGTCAGGACGAAGAGGAGGTGCCATCACATGACCTGTAAAACAGATCAGACAAACCTGGGATTAGTAACCATGACAACACAACAAAAACAGTTAACTTAAATAAACAGTAATGATGAAAAGGTAAATTATACACTGTGAAAAAATGAAAAAACTGACGTTTCGGACGCTAGTCCTTCGTCGGAGTAAAAGAGAAAGAAGTGGTAGAAAGGAGTGTATATATGATAGAATAAGACAAAAGAAACCAATGAGAACAAGGTAGGCAAGGAAACAAAAACAAACAATCAAAAGACAAAAGAAAAGGTTAGTTGAAAGTAAAGCGTTCATTAATAATCATAATAAATGTTAAATGTCATCTTTTCACGGTGTATAATTTACTCTTGTATCTTTACTGTTTCATTAGAAACACCGACGCAGCTCACACTAGTTTTTAGCTAGTTATATCTTTTTAACTTAAATAAAATACGATTTTCAAGCAGGGAGGAAAACTAAAGAATCTGGGGGGAAAATGCTCAAATCACATATTATGTACCATGGTCATCATCATCATCATCATAATCACCACCATAGTCACTACCACTACCACCACAATGATGATCATCATCATCTTAAATCAATTTCATCATCACAACCACAATCCTCTTTAAAAAATCCTTTTTTTCACGAGGATAGCACTTAATAGCTAGTTGCTAACAAACCTGTGGCCCTCATTCTATGATCGAATCGGAATTTAGAAGTTGATTTTTGCGGAGGGAGGAAAAGCAGAGAACCCGGAAAACCCTCGAAGCACAGGAGAGAACCAACAAACAACTCTACTCATATACAACACTGAACCCGGCGGGACTTGAACTCGGGTTGCATTGATGAGAGGCAGGCGCTCACACTGCTACGCCACCCGTACTTCCCTTCTCATCCTCATCATGATAAATAATAATAATAATAATAATATATTATTATCATTATCATCTGATCATCATCATCACCACCACCATGTCTGGCTAGAATTGGAACTTGTCCTGTCAAATGTTTCCCTTGCCAGTCATTTTGACCAGTTATGTTGAGTCAGAAATGAATGATGGCCAAGTTGAAACTAATTTGGCTGTTCATTATGACTGGTGACTGGCAAGAGTTTGTATTTATTCCTGCACAGGATGTCATGACCATGAATATCACCGCTGCCAATGATGATCATCATCATGGTGTCGATGGTAGCAGCAGCAGCAACAACAAACACATTTAAACATGGTTATTATGTGTAATATACCTGCGGCATGTCTCCAACAAGTGTTCCAATAATTTGTGCCATTAGTACCGAGACCAGCAGCAATAGGCTCACCAAACACTACATTTCCTCTCTGTCGAGCTTCTGTAATGACTCTGGCAGCACTCTTGCTCATGACGTGAACAACATATAGAGGACAATTGACTCTATTTGCTATTGTGACTGCTCTTTGAGTTGCCTCAGCTTCCACTTCCTCTGGRCGGCACATTTCATGACCTTCAGGACCAGTAATGCCCAACTTTATCATCTCGTTTGCTCCCTGAATAATAAAAGAGTAAGACAAAAGACAGTTATCCCATAAAAATGAAATAAACTGACGGCTGGCTGGCCAGTTGCTGCATTTTGTTAAATCTTAGCTAGAAATTTTTAAACCTGGAGAAAAACCCTCATGGCAAGGGAAAGAACAACACATCAAACAAACTCAACTCACATGTTGATTTTATGGAGGGAGGAAAACCAGAGAACCTGGAGAAAAACCCTCGTGGCAAGGGAAAGAACAACACATCAAACAAACTCAACTCACATGTTGATTTTATGGAGGGAGGAAAACCAGAGAACCTGGAGAAAAACCCTCGTGGCAAGGGAGAGAACAACACAYCAMACAAACTCAACTCACATGTTGATCTTAACACAGGGAGGAAAACCAGAGAACCTAGAGAAAAACCCTCGTGGCAAGGGAGAGAACATTGCATCAAACAAACTCAACTGACATATGTGGCTCATTGGGAATCAAAACTGTAACTCCAGTCTTCAACTACGCAGCAGTGAGAAACAGCACAATATGTGTAGCAGTGGACTCCACCCAATCTCTTCCGCTATCTCTAGTACACACCTCCCCTGCATCACACGCACACTTACACACACAGTGATGTATAATGTACCTCATCAATAAGGTGACCGTTCTCAGCATGCACCATAGCAAGAGCTCCTATCTCTTTACATCTCTTGTAGCAAGGAATCATCTGGCAAAAAGAAATATAGAATTCATTTACTACACGGCACACTTTCTGAAATATTATAAACATATTCTGCAATTTGCTTTAGGGAAGCGAATGAAAAGAATAATGAGAGAGAGGGAGGGAGAAATTTAAGGGAATGAAAGAAAGAAAATAAGATAAGATAAGGAGAAAAGGAAAGTGGGAAGAAATTTCCTCCAGTTTACCATCATTTTTGTTATCTAGCCTTTAAAATGTTGTGGACTCACAAGGCGTACATGTAGCCGAGGGAGTTCACAACATATTTTGACGGCTAGATGACGAAAAAAGTGGTAAATAAGAGAACATACCAAAGAATACTGGAGGAAATTGTTTTTTTTAACCAGAAATAAATTTAAACTCTACTACAAACACAAGGGTAAAATTTGAAATAAAAACTGTGTTTTAAGTGTGCACATGATTTGCTGACATAATTTATCGGTACGTCATCCTATTTCCCCTGGCTCTACAACCAATCAGAAAGCAAGAAAATTTACAATAGTGGTAAAAATAATGCTTCATCTTTTTTGACTGTAAGTTTAAAGCATCTCCTACACGTTCTATAACTCCAGAAAAGTTAATACATGACATACCTCGTGATCTTCCAACATCAAAACACCTTTGTAAGCCATGAAGGTTTTGAAGGAGTTTATACCTGAACACAACAAATCAAAACATTCATCATTAGCAAATAAGGAAAAATGTCTCAACTCTAGCCYGCGTAGCGGTCTAAATTGGGAGGCAGGAGAGGGGAAGGGGAGGGGGGCCTGTGGAGGAGTGAGGGAGGATCTCCCCCTCCCCCCTTTGGGCTGCTACGCAGGCTATCTCAAGTCCTAATAATACAGTACCAGAAAGAACATAGTCATGATGAAAATAATAAGCCTGGGGAAGCATCGGTGGTGTGTGCTACTAATGTGCCACCTCTCATCAATGCGGCCCACCTCTGGTTCAAGTCCTGCCAGGCATGGTGTTGTATGTGAGTAGAGTTGTTTGTTGGTTCTCTCCTGTGCTTCAAGGGTTTTCTCCAGGTTCTCCAGTTTTTCTGTTTCGGCCGAAACATGTTAAGTAGTAAAAACCTCAGTTTAAAAAGCATTATCTGTTATTTTCGTGTTTTTTTTTACCTCCTTAGAAATCAACTTCCAACTGTCAAGGAATAACTCAAAGTTTAAGCTATATAAAATAAATCTCTTTATTTAAGTTTCTAGTTGTTATGTTCTTGAGCTTTTGCACTAATTGGGGACACTTTTCGCTCACATACACTACCACTACATTCAATGTACTATGCACACAACGCTCAACTCACAATGTTGATTTTCACGGAGGGAGGAAACGGGAGAACCTGGAGAAAACCCTTGTAGCATAAATAGAGAAAAGGTGGGAAGATTGGTCTTTGATTATCTAGAAATTTGATCAACACTTTACCTTTATCTCGGACAATGATCCCCATCTCATCAGCAATTTCATCTGACCACCAAGAGACTATCATGTGGAAGGCAAAATCACAACAGGCTGAAAGATGTAACGAGAATACAATATGTTATTTTGAGATTGTTAAAAACCCTTTGAGTTGAAGGTTTTCAATCAGCTGATAAAAGTATTCGAATCTTATAATCTTCTCCGAATGCTGGTCAAACATGGACCACCATGTGCTGTCAGCCAGAAAGAATCATACTAAAACCCTGGGGGGGGGGGGGTACTCTTGCCCATTTAGAATAGGGGTGTGCCGCTGAGCCCTGACCCGGTTCCAGAGTAAAATTGCTGAAATTCATACCCTGTTCCAGAGCAAGATCGCTGAAAACCAAACCCTTTTCCGGTATTGCAAAAATAGATACCCTGTTTCAGAGAGGAGAGAGCGTGATTTAATCTACCCTGTCCCAGAGCGAGAGCGATTTTATATACCCTGTACCAGAGTAGAATCGCTGATGACCATACCCTGTTTGGCAGCACGTACCCCTATAGCGAATATAGGGCAGTACCCCCCCCAGACTAAAATGAAACTCAAGCACAAAGCATGATGGGAAACAGAGTACTTACGATTTTTCAGCTCCTCTAAAAATCCCTCTGACAATTTTTCCTTTGACATTTTGTATGGAAATGTGAGCATTTCAACAGAAGAAAATAACAGCATATTTGTTTCTGATAATTCTATTGATTTCCTTGTTATGTGTATAGTACTCGATTTCCCATCATGCTTTGTGCTAGAAATTCGTGCTCGTGCATATTCCCTATTGAATACTGGCGTAAAAAGGAACATGTTTTGGACAACTGTACCTTTTTCAGTTGCCCAGCCCATCCATCTGTCATAGGCTTCAAGCAAAGATTCACCCTTTGCAGGAGCAACAAAGTCAACTATAAAATAACAAAAAAAGGACATTATATCATTATACGAAACAAGATACTTAAGTTGCTGACACATGGTGCAACATTGCTTGCAACATTGCATGCAACGGGAATGTTGCACCGTGTGTCTACCCCAAACTTGTTGCACAAAACGTTGCATGCAACAAATCTGAAGTCAAACAGCGATCTACTCTTAGACATTTCGCGGAACGACTTTCATCATGTGTACATGGCTGCAACACTTTGAAATTTCCAGCCAGTCAGTTTGCACCAAATTTATAACTGCTGCAGGCTGACACAAGCRATGTTGCGTGATCATGTTACAATGTGTGCCACCCCAATTCAAATTTGTTGCTTGCAATGTTGCGTGCAATGTTGCATGCAATGTTGCACCGTGTGTCAGCACCTTGAGTAGACGGAGCAAGGGAATAAAGGTGGTCCGGGTAGTGTACTTGATTCTCAACTCTGGTGTCTTGGGTGTGATTTCTGGACTTGGCATCAAATGTGAGGGACGTTTTTTAGGTCTCCCTTGATTTGAGGGCTTTTCTATCATGGTAAATATACACATTTCCCCCCTTCACTAAACCCAACAAGTAAATCTTAATTTAATCAGTTCCCCTCTAATCTGATTTAGATCAGATTAGAGATTGTTTCAGGGTTTGATCTGTGAGTTAGCCATGAACTGACATAGATCAGCTCAGAGGTTGTTTCAGGGTTGATCTGTGAGTTAGCCATGCCCTGACTTAGATCAGCCCAGAAGTTGTTTCAGGGTTGATCTGTGAGTTAGCCATACCCTGACTTAGATCAGCCCAGAAGTTGTTTCAGGGTTGATCTGTCAGTTAGCCGTGCCCTGACATACATCAGCCCAGAGGTTGCTTCAGGGTTGATCTGTGAGTTAGCCATGCCCTGACTTAGATCAGCCCAGAAGTTGTTTCAGGGTTGATCTGTGAGTTAGCCGTGCCCTGACTTAGATCAACCTTGAGATAAAYCTTCAGGTTGATCTGTTAGTTAGCCATGGCTTGACTTAGATCAACCTTGAGATTGTTTAAGGGTTGGAATTGTGAGTTAGCTGTGCCCTGACTTAGATCAGTCAAGAAATCGTTTCAGGATTTCATCTTGAATTAGCTAGGGTTCAATCTTTGAGTTACTAGTCATACCTTGACTGAGTTGGAGGTTGTTTCAGGGTTCTATCTGTGAGTGAGCTGTGCCCTGACTTAGATCATCCCAGAAGTTGTTTCATGGCATCAATTTAAAATTTAACACAAAAGAATGACATCCCTATTAGTTTTGAAAAACTTACTTATCATGGTTGTACCCCCAGCAACAGCAGCTCTGGTGCCGATATAAAAGTCATCAACAGAGACCATGCCCATAAAGGGAAGCTGAAAATGAGTGTGTGTATCAATACCACCTGTAATATTAAAATAAGATAGAAATTGGGAAGTTAATATTTGAATGCTCAAGGGGGATGGGGTGCGTATCAATACCACRTGTAATATGAAAAATAAGATAGGAATTGAGAAGTTAATATTTAAATGCCCAATTAAGACAGGGGTAGGGTGCGCTGCTAATCTACCACAACAATAATAATAGATCTTTGTATTGATACGGCTGCCATCTTGAATTATGGGATGCTGAGATGCTATAATCCTAAATGAGCTAAGGAATGCTGTTTTTTTGAAAGTGATGTTTTGAAAGAAGACATAACTTGAAAAAAATTGTTTTAACTTCAACAGATGTGAGCATGCATAATCACAGGCACTTATACAATCAATTTCTTGTTCATAGATATCCAGCCAATCAGTGTGCATTATATCGTGGCTATAATATTGTAAACTTAATAGAGGTTTTGCACCACCACGTGACGGCAGCCATGTAGATAGCAGGAACAATATAATCGTTTTATATGAGAAAGAACTCAATTCCCAAGAGCACCGGGACTTTATTGTTCTGCCATCTAACCATAGGAAGCCCAAGATGTATTATGGGCGCCGACACGTGATGGTGTAAAGCCTCTATGATGAACATTGTCATTGAGAATATAGAGAGTTATCACTCACGTTACAAGGCAGTCATATTGGAGTACCAAACAATAGAAACTTTCTGCGCAGTATTTGCATAAAAATAGAGTTCAATTCCCGGAGGATAGAAAATGTATTGTTTTGGTACACCAACGTGGCCACTGTGACGTCACGTGAAAACGCTCTATATGAAAAACGACACAAAAGAAAAGAAACAAAAGAAAATGATTTGAGAGGAAAAGAATACTGTGTTACCTGGAATTACCAGTTTCTTGTTTGCATTGATTACCCTGGTGTCTCCTGGCGTAACAATGGACTTGCCAATCTCCCTGAAGAACCAAACATTCTTAATAACAATATATATACACTTATTTCATAAAAATGTTGTCAGACGCGGATCTGAAATCTGAGACCAAAGAGCACGCTGCAGATCAGCCCAGAGATTGTTTCAGGGTTTGATCTGTGAGTTAGCCGTGCCCTGACTTAGATAAGCCCAGAGGTTGTTTCAGAGTTTGATCTGTGAGTTAGCCATGCCCTGACTTAGATCAGCCCAGACGTTGTTTCAGGGTTTGATCTGTGATTTAGCCATGCCCTGACTTAGATCAGCCCAGACGTTGTTTCAAGACTTGAACTATGAGTTAGCCGTGCCCTGTCCCAGATCTGCCGAGGTTGTTTCAGGGTTCGACCAGTGAGTTAGCTGTGCCCAGTAGAGTTGATAAAAAAAGTATAAATGAAGTTTACAGGCATTTTAGTATCATCAAAAAGCATTCATTCAAGATAATTCAAAACTTACTTGATAATTCCATTTTCTACGTAAATATCAGCCTCGAACATCTKGTCATCATTGACAATTGTTCCTCCCTTGATGAGGAGGCGGTCTTTGTGTGCCTTCGTAAAACGATATGAATACATGTAGTTTGTACGGCTGACTTATATTATCATCATTTAGCATCACCATCATTGACTGTTGTATTTATCACCATCACCATTATCATCACCACCAACAACATGCGATCACTGTGTCATCACCATAATCACCATCAATATCTTATTATTGAACCATCATCACCACCATCGACACCACCATCATCTAATCTTTGCACCAGCACCATCGAATCATTCCATCAACATCATCCCCACTATTATCCAATCATCAGTCATTATCAGCATTTTCATCTAATCATTGTATCAATAACATGAACATCATATCTCATCATATCCATCCTATCCTTGCATCAACATCGTCATCACCATCACCATTATCATCATCCCTGACATCTAATCAATACATGAACATCATCATCATCACTACAACCACCATTCTATATTTGCATCATTAACATCAACATTTAGTCATTCTGTCAACATCATCACCATGCACCACCATCTAATCTTTGAATTATCATCATCATCACCACCCAATCTTTGCATCATCATCATCTAATCATTGCATCAACATATTCATCATCTCCACCACCACCACCACCATCCAATATTTGCACCATCAAAATCTAATCATTGCATCATTGAGTTGAGTGCCCTTCTGCTTTGTAATAACTATGATACACATTGTCACAATATAGAAAGTTTATATTCTCTAGTATTATTAGCGCAATACTCAGGTCTAACGTCTCGTTTCAGGGGCTCCCAATTGTTTTGTCTTATTATTAGTAGTTTCACTCAAGTTTGGTTTGTTTACAGTGTTCAATTGTCTGAACTTCAAACAATACATGTTACAACAAAGAGTGTTAGCTATATAAAAAAACTTTCAAAAATTTATCCCAAACATTTCAGAAATTTTAGCTTTCATTTTACAAATGCTTTAAACAATTTCAAAAACAGATTTCAAGACAATTTTAAAGATCATTTGTTTTTGATTTTTTAAAAATACATTATTGAAGAGAACAAACCTAACAAAGCTTCAAAACTCTAAAGGTGCAAAGAATTGAGTGGAAAACAAATCAAGTTAAATATTTTTTAATTTTTTAATTTTGAACAGTTTTCTAAGCACTACTTTGTATGTATGAATAAATTGAATAAACCTTTTTTGAAAAGAAAATGTTACTTACACATACTAGGAAAACCAAAAAGACCTCTTATTTTGTGAAAAAAAATATTTTTTCAAAATTGTATTTGAGAACAAAAATTAATAAAATATGAATAACGGTCTTTTAAAGATTTTTTCAAGTTGAATTTTGTCTAGAGCTAGAGATACGTACGTGCAAGACTAGTGCATAAAGGTCAAAAACCATTTGGTAATCAATTAGATGCTAAAATATACGGTTAAAAATACAAAAGACCAGCTGAGGATCCCAGACTACAGCATATCATATATCAAGTCTGTACCACTAAATATGATTTTTTACATTAAAAAAATTCCGTAGATCAAAATGACTTTGGCTATAATTTATTGAGCTCATGAAATTTTTTGCACAAAAGTTAAGGTCTTTCTTTAAATACACTGATCAATTGAAATTTTTATGCAAATATGAAATATTCCAGCTTTCTAAGCAAATCTATTATTGATAAAGCAATCATCAACTATCAAAGGCTTGGATCTTTACGCTTGATAAAAAAATAAGAAAAATAAAGACGAAAACTTTAATTTTTGGAGACTTCATCAGTAAAGCTCTATATGTAATAAGGACTTACAACCATTTGTTTTGTTTATATTTTTTGTATTTTAAACAGATGTTGGTTTTTATTATATTTTTGGCATGTCGGGTACTCTTCCGTGGTTTGGAAGCATTTGAATGAGTTAATTTGAGGTTATAGGATATGAAAAGAAAGCTTATAAATTAGCTTAAAAAAGCTTATGTTTAGATTGAAGAAAGCTGGTTGTATATCTTATAAAGTTATGCATGACTTCGCTGATCCACGCTGCATAAACCTTTACTATAAACCCGCCAAAAATCCCCCGATTCTTAAATTATGAAAACGTAGGATATATGCCAAGCTTAAATAATGTATTGAGAGTTCAGATTACTACATAGGAGACTTTTTTTGAAGAACAAAAAGTAATTACGGTATTATAAAGCCATGCATATGTTAATACTGTAGGTAAATAAAACGAATACCTGCTCTACGCTTGCAGACTTTCTGAAAATCATTTCTCCTTCAGACACCAAATTTATAAAATAAACTAGCTATTTCAAAAGACTTATGAATCAACTGCTTAATAAAAATAGAGAATTAGCTAAGAATSGAGGAATATTTTGAAGGATTCAGTGAGAAGTTTGGTCAAATCCAACGCCTTAAAAATCAAAATCCAACTCAGATCACGTTACTTTGAACTCAATCAAGATATTTTTTCTCGACTTTTTGAGAACGAGGACTTATCTTAGAGATTATTTATAGATTAAATAAACTACTCACCATCGCAGAAGTCATTTTGACAGGATTCTAGAGTCTTTTTTCTGAGTTAAGTGAAGATGAGTGTGAGCTCAACTGTGATCAAAAACCCGCCAAAGTCTCGTATACATTTGGGTTATCACGAGGTCGTGTAGACCACTGGGATGGATTGGAAAATCAGGAACGGAACAATAGACTCCGGACCTTAAAAAATCTAAAGATCGGCTGATTTCGCAAATGATTTAGTCCAGTTTATGGATTCAGTGTCAAAATCCTAAAATTAAGGATTCGGAGTAAAACAATTGTCCATTTGGTCGTGCAAATGCAGCAGATTGCGGTTTTATCCATTCATTGGTTCGGATTTCGGTTTTTGATCGCTATAGGCTTCGGATCGCAGGATCGAAAACCTCTTCAGAATATTTTCAATATTTGTTTTTGTTGAAAATTCTTAATGTTTGTTCTTGTTGGTCGAGATAAAAAGTACCTGGCAACTGTCAAGTTATTTGAAGATTGATATTCGTGCATTTTTTTCCGGATACGGACGGATTCAGGTAAAAATTTTAACGGATCGAAGGATTTGCATACACCTGTTCATCCCCTCTCCGTGTAATAATCGTCAAGCGTTTTAAATTATGTAAGGCTTAATATTTTTTAACAGAAAATTAAACAGAAAAGAGGGAAAAAATTGAACTTTTACAGTAAAAGATTTTAGTTTATGTCCAAGATAAAKAATGGAATAGAAAGGACTCGGGAACGTGGAATTTTAGGATGTATTCTTTTTTAATCCTAAGTTTTGGTCATATTATTATTTTATTCCAAAAATAATTAGTCACAGCCATTTTTCTGGTTTAGAAAATTAAAAGGATAAAAGCTAGAAATTTTTTTTCTATACATTTGAAATATCTGAAATGCTCAGGTGACTCGCTTTGATTTCAAAACAATCCTACAGCAGTAAAAACGTATTATAAAATTTATAGTAAACGAAATTGATTCTTCTTTGCATAACCATGCTTAGTATTTCAGTTCAAGTTAGTATTTTCCACTAAAATTTTTCGACAAAAGAAAAAGTTTTTGAAAATAATATTATTTTCAAATTCCATGTAATTATTGATTCTTTAGGACTAAAAGTTTTCCTACCATTTCGAGTTTTTTGTCACCGGTTTTCGGAAATATAAATGGATTTATTTTTATGGGCACTTGGTATATTTGAACTCAATTATGCTTCATTTTTTAGAGTTAGAAACTTACCCAGGAAATAATAACCTAAATGAGAATAACCTAAAAAAAAACTTGAAGTGTTCTTGCCGGTTGAGTGCCTAGCACTGTAATTTGTTCTTGAAAGGACTAAAAATCATTCGAAATTCTCTATAAATTRAAGTAGCTTTATCAGAAATCCCTTCAACTTCAGCCGTTTAATGACCGGCCGGCCACGTGTAGCTACGTGTAAAGATGCTTATTCTACTCARCTATTCCATGCTTTTTAATTATTWCAATCAGAAGTTATTATTCTGTTCTACTATATAACACTGATCAATATTTACAATTACAATGAAAAATTCAAGGCCTCCGGATTTTTGGCTTCTAATCTTTGGTTTCTGGCTTAGAGATTGAGTTAGCATATTTGATTGACAAAAGCTGAATTGGAAGAGGCCCGGAAAGACGTGTCAATATGGACTAGAAAAGAGAACGGATTTTTTCCAAATGAGAACAAAAGCGCGCGACACAATACSAGACTAGCCTCCGTTGCAGACGTCCTGCGGGGTTCGGTTCGCGAGACCTGAGCGTTGTTCAGATAGAATCAACTCCATATTTATATTTTATGAAAGTGTTTATATAATTAGAACCTGACTGAGTTGAAAACCTCGACCCACCGACCCCCGGGGCAGGAAGGAGATTTAGTTATTTAAGGACAGTTTAATCCTTTTCCCCTGTCCCCAGAGAAATATTTGTTGCGTAAAACCACCCCGCTCGGAGACCCGGCCCATGGTACTTTTGACCAGGTTTATACTATATACATGATTTTGATTTTGGCATTTTGGTTTCGTTACAAAACAGAATGAGTATTGTCATTTTCCGAGGTTAAGGAAAAAACTGGGTCGCGAGAGTGTTGCAGTCATGCGGGGATGTTTTTTGGAGGGGTGGGGGGGACGTCCCCATAATACACCGCAAAGTCAACTTGAACAAATTTTTCCCACGTCGGGCTAGAAGAGCTCAAAAATGTCTCACTTTGTTGCTATTTTTAGAAAATCTTATCTTTTGGTTTCCATATCAGAAATGAAGAGTTTTGCATTTTTGAACTCCTCATGTGTAGTTCTTTCAAATGAGCTAGTTACAATTTTCCATTGAGGAGTATTTCGATTTTCCGCTGAAATTGATGACGTCATTTTCCCGCCAAAAATGTCGACATTCAAAAAAGTAAAACAACAGAGTTGTGACATTTGTTAAACTCTTCAATGTTACCAAGTTTCAAGAAATTTTAATGAAATACAAAAACTCTTTGCCAAAATGAAACATTTTTTAGCCCTTCTAGCCCGACGTACTCGGAATAGCCACTTCAAGCTCACATTCTCAGCAACGTACGTACGGCCGTGCCGCTATCTTTCACGAGAGCAAACCGGTGATAAACCCATTTCTCACTAAATAAAGCCAAGTTGAAGATATTCTCGCCATAAATAATATTCATTTCAATTGGCAATCTTTATTTATTCTTTCTATTAATTTAGTCTTTAAAATATCCAGTGAAAATCTTCCAACATGATGCSGGCAGCTATGAAGTTCCCGTAAATTATTCACGATGTCAAACGGCACCGCGTTGAATCTCCGGTCTTGCCACGTTAAGCTTTCACTTTCTCAAGCTCATTCCAAATATTTTCTATTAGTTTTAGCGCATTTTAATTGATTAAAAAGCTGATTATAAAAATACAACAAGCTAGTTCTCGCTATATGATGAATTTTTTATGAGCTAGAAAGATYGATCGCTAAGTTCCCATTAGTGCAGAAGCCATATGAATATCGGAGCCGCTATAAGACCAAAAGCCAGATCAACTCTATTACCAGAAGTGGTGGGTGGTTTTTGAGTGGTTGTGGACGGAGTCGTGGACGAAATAGGGGATGGAGTCGTCGACGGATTCGTGAACGGAGCTGTGGACGGAGCTGTGGACGGAGTGATGCTCTCCACGAAACAATTTGCTTGACAGGTTTTCAGTGTGTAGGCCAGGTGAGTTCGGTTGAAATAACTGCAAATGTAGTCACAGCCAGCCTTAAGTGTGCAGTGTTGGATGAAGACAGGGCTACCGTCTAATTTTGTTGCTAGAATGGAATAAGATGTAAAAGTACTGAATTATTATGCGACAGACTTCAACTGAGAGCGAAAAATTTCCGCAAACTTTGTCTGCAAGTTTTTCAGGCATACTTTTCTTCTGTACATATAATCGACACTAAATTTCGTGCAACTCAAGCTTGGTTGCAGCATGTGCATGCAACAAGCAACGAGCAATCTGCAATCTGCTGCAATAGCTCTATATAGTTACTTTATGATAAAGAGACGATTTCGTGACTATTAGAAGACTAACACGGAAGCACGGTCATGCTACAGAAAGATTTTGATGGCCCTGGACATGGGTTTGATTTCTGGACTCGACATCTTACGAGAGTGGATCAGAGTTGTTTCTTGGTTCTTTCCTGGGCTTCAAATGTTTTTCTCTGGGTTTTCCGGTTTTCCTCCCTCCACAAAAATCAACTTCTAAATTCCAATTTGATCCTGCAATAAGGGCCACAGGTTTGTTAGCCAATGGCTGTTAAGAATTACCCTGGGAAAAAACGAGTAGATGGAGTGTGCGGGGTAAATGTATCCCGGGAAATTTATTAGGTATGCTCGTCCGAAATGTTCAGAAACTGAACCCTAAAAGATACCGAAAATCTTTTAAAAAGAAGAGATTTGCGGTAACCGTTAAACGATACCCTAACAGATGCCAAATCGCTTACTTTTACCCCTAGCAGATCCAATAGAGCAGGTGCATGTTACGTCATTGCCGCCATCTTGGTTGATGATGACTAAGCATTCCTCACTAGCTTCTCTTGTAAGATCAACCAAGATGGCGGCTGTTTTATTGTTATTCATATCTCAAGGGATTTTGAGTCACATGGTTGCACACACTCTCTACGTTTACGGTGCTGTCCCATCTCCCCTAGTCTCCCACACAGCCGCGCTTTCAGTGTCGTCACGCAACGCTTTCTCCCCTGAGTAGCTGCTCAGGGGAGAAAGCGTTGCGTGACGACACTGAAAGCGGCTGTGTGTGGGAGACTACATCTCCCCCATCCGGGGACAATTTGGAAACTGAACCAGTTCTTTTTTGTTATAAAGATGCATACCATTCATAGTAAAGCAAGAGTCTGCTGTGATGTTCGTTTCGTCGAGTTTCACGTTGTCACAGTTTGTGGATTCGTAGTTCTGCGAACAGGCCTCTCTTGTTGTAGTCAGGTTGCACGTTTGGCAGGTTATCGCCAATGCTGAAAGAAAAAAAGACTCAGGGACCTTACACACTTGTTTTAAGGAGCAAGTGTGACTTGGTTGGTTAGTATGCTGCCTGCTAAGCAAGGGTAGTTTGATCCTCAGCGACCTGAGACGCTTGTTTTAAGGAGCAAGTGTGACTTGCTTGGTTAGTTTGCTGCCTGCTAAGCAAGAGGTCCATAGTTTGATTCTCAGTGACCTTACACAATTGTTTTAAGCAAGGGGTCCATGCTATAGTTTGGTCTTTAATGTTTTCACACACTTGTTTTTAAAAGTACGTGCGGTGGTTTGGCTGGCTAGTGCTGCCTGCTAATATGTCGTTCTATTTTTTATCGTATCAATTTATCATTTAATCATATTATTCCTAAAAGACATAAAGACGTGATTCAGGACACGTTTTTATAGTTTCTGATGAAGCAGGAACACTTGAGCAAGATTGCAAGATTGATGATTTGCGTCATTGACAGCTCTGTATAACCATGTGTGACGTCTGCACCACTTCATAATCCAAAAATGGCGATAATATAATTAGACTTGAATATCTTTATCAAGTTTTCCTTTTTCAAATAAAACTAGTGACGTTGATAAGAGATTTTACTTCCAACTTTCTAGAACTGGATTCGAATATGAAAATAAACAAAAGCAAAATTGAAAAATGTTTCGTGAGTAAACGGTTTTCCTAATTGATTTATAATCATTAATTAATGAAGAGTTGAGAGTTGTCCGCATGAAATACTGCATGTCGTGCGATGATAGCTTGTACTTTTACTAAATAATTATGTTTATGTACAATAAAAAAAGATTATTTATATATTCATCATTAACTAACTTTTTTCTCCCTTCAATTGTTTACTATTTTATTTCAATTATGTACTATTTTCAACTCTATGTGTTAGGTATGTTTTTTTTCGCTATAGCGAAACATGCACTGATCATATATTCGAGTCCAGAAATTGGTTTCCAAACATGTCAAAACTTACCTGAAGACACAGCAATGGATAGCAAGATAAAGGAGAGGAAAACACGAGACGTCATCTTTCAAATTGCTTTTGATCAGACTTTCTTTAGTAGAGAACACGCAGTAGATGAAGGGTTTTCTTGTATTGGTGAGCCTTGACCCAAATCATTCCACTTCCGGTCTTCTCTTTCTTTTTATTATTTCCAATCTCGTAACCAGTGCCTGCGTTTCTTCTGGCCTGCGGCGAAGAACGAGGGCTCTGGCATAGTAAATAAAATAAATACTTAACAATTGCCCTATTTCACTATGACGTCACTGCTTGTTTATGTGTGGGGATAGAATCGCCAAATCCAATAGAAAATTCAACAAAATCTACTCCTAGCGAAACAGTTTAATCTAAAATGGCCTGGTTTTAACAGATATAATGCGTGTTTAAAATATGTACTAAAGAATATTCCGAGCGTTTGCTGGCTATTCTACTTCTCTTTGTGGATTGATATAATAAATAATATAATATAATCCATTTTTTGAGACCAGGATTTCTTGGACTTCCGTCATAAGAGCGTATACAAGACTTGCCACAAAAGTCGGACAACTGTCATGGAGACAAAGGAAGAAAAATCTAAATAAAAGTAAACTGATTTTCGTTTTGGAGCAGGAAGTATTTTTTCATATACATATATACGATTGACGACACTTGGGATTCCCCAAATATTTAGAAGACAATTGTCTTCTTCAGTTTAGAGGGGAAGCTAAGATTTTGTTTAAATCGCTAAAATGGCTCGAAATCACTACTAAAGAACATGGACGACGTAAATAACACGTCGTGTGAATAAATATTAGCTTTTATTATTATTTTATTTATTTGAATTACATTCAGTTCTCAAAGCTTGTATGGGCTTCCTGTGGGGATTCGAGACAACAATGAGCTCTTATTTGGAGTCACGAGACAAAGTGAAAACTGATGAAGATTCGATGACTACAACGTGGCATCCTCGAGAAAAGGCTTGGCGAGTCAAAACCGAAATATGAAAATAATTTGAGAAAAAGTGTTCTTCTTCCGGCTCGAATCACAGCTAGTGACCAGATCTGTGTCTTGGACTCGACTGAAGCAAAAACTCATCATCGTTTCGTCGATCGATTTAGTGTTAACGCTTTTTGTGGCTATGTGTTTGAAGTATTCAAGTGAGAGAAGACAATAGTAAGTGTGATGGAAGTGAGCAATATTTAAGGAATATATAAAAACGCACGCGTGTCTCTGTACTGTGATATACAAAGAGCATGAGAGAAGCAAGCTTAGAAACATGAGGCGTAGCCGAGTGTTTTTTGTCTTGCTTTTTGAGTGCTCTAGGATCTTCCTAGCAGGCGAAATAACTTTTGCGTTTTGTTTACATGAGAACGGTACGAAGCGAAAGGGCCGTAATTACTCACATTAACACCACAAAAGTGATCAAAGATAAATACCCCTTAGCTCTAGTAGGCGAGTTATCTCTCCTTTTTCGTTTACATCATGTGTTTTGCTAGAGTCAAACACAATCCTAGTACTAGGATCTTCCTATCTTTCAGACAG